CCTCTCTCTCTCTCTCTCTCGCACATTCCACTGAGTCGGCGTCCTTGCACCGGCATAATACAGGAGCAGCTAAAGAGGTAAGAAATGGAAGATGGCCTCACCAAAGGGAGTCATTCTAGGCAAATACAAAAAAAAAACACTGTACCTGTATTCCCCTCTTTTCTTCTGCATTCCCCCCTCGCTTGTCGCAGCCATTGTTGTTGCCATTGAGAGCCTGTCTCGTTCCCTTTTGGCAGTTTCTTCGCGTTCTCCCCAAAACTGAAGAAAAGAGTGATCGACGTCAGGAGAACAGATACATGAGTACAGTAGTTTTGCCATCCGCCTCACGCCCAGTGATGCAGCTCATCGCAAAGTTCATCATGACCGATTCCGCCTGAAGACTATTGGACACAAGCTCCGGTGTGGGGGCATTGGTCAAATGGCAGCAGTGGCATGATTCCTTGTACTCATGCACGTCACGTTTCCATGTCTCTGGCAGCTGTTGCGGCGACGCAAACTCATACAGACGACGACTGATGTCAAAAAATCTGAGACTTAGTTCATTCGCCCCGGCACTGCTGTTGGTGAACGTTGCCAGAGCAAAGAAGTGACCAGAGTGGTTTCGCAAATAACACATCTGCGCGAGCATCAAGTGTCGCCTGGCAAAGAGCGGAGCGACCCAACAACTTCTTTTCGGAAAAATCCGTGGCTGCGGACAAAATGTCCGGCCATTCTAACATGCAGAGACAAAAGTCAATGTGGAAGTTGGCTCCTGTGGTAGAACGGGCAGACAGTTTTGCGTGCTCCAAGTCATACCAGACGTGCGATTCATCCAAAACAGATGCAGGGTATTGAACAGCCTCACAAAAAGCTAGTATGGATGTTGTAATGGCGTCTGCGCTTTCGCCTAAAAAGGAGGGGCTTTTAATGATCGTGAAACCAGTACGCGAACCACGAGATTCTTCCACATACTTCACATCTCGTATAAAGTCCATGCTACACCAGCATGACGTTTTACATAGTACATCAGGCCATGTGGCCTGCCTTCGGCAGGCCTCTTTGCATGATCGACTTGAAGCATGTACCATGGAGAACGCAGAAAGGGCCACAGGATTCCCAAAGACAACGCTCTCAATACACCACGCCTCATGATGAAATTCTCCAGTCTTCAAGCAGCGTACTTCAACAGCGCCTTCAAGTCGCTTGCTAACATCTGCCGCCAAGTTAAAACGGTAGGTGATTGTAGCAATCATATGAGTCGCGCCAAGCCGGAACTCACGGCACATTACGACAATAACATCCTCTGAAAGACAAAAATAGGCAGCAATGGCGCGACCCACCACAGTATCATTGTCACCGTCGTGTGCGTCGACTTCCATGATATAATTGAGTTCTTTTGGCACTTACAGCATTTCAGCCCCGAGTGGGTTGACCGGTAAGACAGCGAATGCAGTACTTAAACAGTGACGGTTGAAAAGAAACTCCAGCGTGGCGCTGGACGATGCGAGAGAAGGTGATTGTAGCGCCTATGAGCGCCTCACCCGCGCTGTACCGAAAAACGTACAGTGATTGAAAAAAGGAGGTGCTCTCCTACAGCGTGAGGCTCCACACATAAGGGTGGTCCTCTGTGTCCACTGGTGTTGCCTGCACACTTCGTTGCTCAGGTAAAATGTTCAGTGATTGATGAATTGCTTCCCGATGAGGAGCGGTGGGGTAGAACATCCAGCCAAGACAGTCCAAAATATCCTCTTCACGTTCCTTCAGCATCCAGCTGCCGTCGGCTATCGTCTCAAGATCCACATAGAGAGTCACACAGCGCTCTCCGTCGAGGTAGCCTGGGTCCAGGGAGATGAACAAGGAAAAGGTGTGATTTTGTTCAGCAATACCCACTTGTTTATTGTCTACATACGAAATTACGCCAATATGAGGCCATGGAAGCAACATGGCGTGGTAGGGGTAAACGATAATGTCACCAGGTGTGGGTCGCCGCGTCGATTTGCCGTTGGAGTGCGTAATCAAGTTGAACGTGGCACCCGTCTCCACGTGCGTCAGGGTCCTCATATCAAATATCTCGCTTGCACATCCACAGGAGGCAAAGGTACATCCGGTGGTCAGGAGCAGAAAGCGTCGGGCGTATTCCACGCACTGGTAACGAAACGCATTATACACGACGTGATTCACATAATTGGCTTCACCACTGAAGAAGTCATCGTCTCAATTGGAGATGGCAGCAACCCCCATAAAACTTCCCTGCTTCTCACCATATGGCAAACACCTGGAAGGTTTCACCTGCTCATATCCACTCATGTCGCCAAAACCCGCCGTACGCGAAGGCATTGGCAAACCGAACAAAAAAAAAAAGGACAACGGAAATCTGGTGAGAGGCGAACAGTCCACAACAAAATTAAAAACAATCTTGCACTAAAACAAAACAAAAAGAAAAAAAAAAGGTTCGTAAAAACTGAAAAAGTTGTAATTATCGTCCCTTTTTTTTATTACTATTATTTATGCGGGCTCAATTGTTTGGGTTGCTGTGTTGTACACTTTGCAGAGAGGCGCAGCGTGCACACAGGCGTATCTGTCCCATCCCCTCCCTCCCAGTATAGGGAAACACTGGAGCAAACAAACTAATTAACAAAAACATAAAGGAACAGAAGTACATACAGCAGCAGCAGCGAGAAGACGCACGCCCCCACATCCCCTCACTCAACTACGCCTGCGTTTGTTGGAGAATGTGACTTCTGCCAGATGCAGTGTAATATCATAGCCTCCATGAAAGCGACGATGACAGTCTCTTCATCATGGTTTCTACCGTGCCACCTGCCTTTGGTTTCACAGGCGTACGCTCTGGTGACGAAACCCGAAGAAGGCACGTGCTTAGCTCATTTAGAGCAGACAAAAGTGTTGGAGGCAGTGTGCGGTGGGCGGAGCTCACCACAGTGATGTCGCAGGCTCCAACAAAAACACTGCGATCTGTCTGGCGGTGGCGCACCACATCCAACTTGATAGAAGTCTCCAAATCCTTTAAAGAGGGCGTTCCACGGGAACCCGCGCGATAATTGTTAAACACAACCACAAGTGGCACGGTGCTAAAATGATCGGTGACGGCACGCAAATAGGCTGCGACATCCTTGAGACCACCCTTATTCATACTGTCCACCACAAAAAACAAAAAATCAATCTCCTTCATGCGTTCTACATAATAACGCCAATTGTCTCGGAACGTCTTGCGGCCACCAAGTTCTTTCATAGAAAATATCCATTCCTGAAAGGCCACCACCTGCTGTGAAAGACCAACCGTCGGAACAGTGGATTGCACAAGACCTCTTAAAGAGTTCAGGATAAGCGTTTTTCCAACGCTTTCCAAACCAGCTACAAAACCCACACGCCACCCCCGCCGAGCTATCTTTGCCTCAAGCGGCAGTAAATGGTTCAACGCCACCCGTGACACACACTGAAAGTCGTACATCTGCCTTAATAAATTGGTAGAGGCATCGTTGTTATCCACAATTGGTTCATTCCCCGTTTCAAATCGTGTTTTATTTTGTTGTACCGCATACTCTCGCAGCCGTTCCTCTATCCCTGCCACACTCTCTTCGTATTCACATAATTCATATAATAAAGTCACGGCAGATGGAAGGTCGAGCGACGTTGCCATCTCACCTCCAAGGGTGTAGCTATACATGAGACGAAGCCGACGCAAATTGGAGACTAGCACTCGCACCAAGTCATGTTTGCGGATACGACGATTCTCAAAGGCCGCCTCAAGGGATTGAATAGCATCAATAATGGCGTCGGCACCAATCTTAAGATTCACAGAAGCAACTTGGGAGTCGTACACTAAACTCACCACACGGTGAATGTCAAGGACTTGTGTTTCCGCACTACGCTCAAATGCCACCGCGTCTCCCAAGTCGTCGGAAGAAGTGGAAGACCACGAACCTGAGTCACCGCCAATGTAGATGCTCCTGCTTGGTTCCAGGATATCTCGTAAATTATCCTCACACCATTCCTTGAACATGGCAACAGGCATAGAAGGAAATATAAATAACTGCGAGACAACTGCGTAGGCATGATTGGCCTGAGGTGCAACACGCCATTTGCTAACAAGATCCATCATGGCTGCTTGATGCTCCTCCGTTGAACAGAGAATGTAATCTGTCAAAATGCTCTGCTGAATCTGTGGATCAGGCAGACTTTTCGTCTGCCCAACCACAAATGGAACAAAGTCCACGACTATAGAAGATATATTTCTAAACATCATTCCAAAAAGTGGACTATATCCCTCAGTAGAGGACTCAAATCCACTCGAAAGCTGTTGAAGGCTCTCAAGTCGTCCCAGGTAAATGTTACTGCATGAAAGCACTAAATGCGATAAATTGCGAAGAAGAAGCGGAACACCAACTTTTGCGCAGGCAATTAGGAGATTCCCCCATATAATCTTGACATCTCCATGTCCGCCCAATGCATGCGACAAGGAGGCTCTAACCTCACTCATGTGTTTGCCGAGATCTGCAAGAATAATAACGTTTACAAGCTGATCACGGAGGGATCGAGCTAAAACACGCGGCTTCTGATATGCTTCAAAGTACCTAGATATCATCACCACAGCATGCCTACAACGTTGTTGATATTCAAACGTAGTCGTCACAAACAGCTCGGGTGGCTTACTGGCGTTCACAGTCTTCTCGTCAAGTGTAATGGCTATCCCGGAGACGTACTCTCCAATGTACTTGATGTACACAGATTCTTCTGCAGCACCCTCGGAACGTCCAAAGTCTTCTGCCACCTCCACAATCTGTCGCTGTACATCTCTTAAAAAATCCTCGTGTACGTAACGACGCAGGTATTGTTCCACGCGTGCCGTGTCTCTCAAGTTTTGTCTCCATTGAAATGTGAAAGGGAAAGGCTTTTTGAGTCCTAGCATCTCACCAATCTCACGACAAACAGCAACACAACTTTTATTTGTGGTAAGCCATCCCTCAATGCATGGATCTCGCCATACATGTGATTGAGTTATTTTCATAATGTCATTTGAATCTGCAACATGAAAACACACATTCCCCAGCATATCTCGGGCAATTGTTACATTCAATACGAGACTGCGCGTAGTGGGATCATACTGCGGCTCAGTGTTGGGTTGCGACCCAGCAGCAGCCACTGTGAGAGTGTACCGCCGCGGAATGTCGTTTTCGCTGCCATACTTGTGAACCACCGCAGAGATGGTGTCAATTGCCATATCCACTGCCTCAACCAAATACTGCAGAAGATCATCGGGAATGTCACTCAAACCTGCAATAGCTAGTGTAATGCTTACGCCGAGCGAACGCTCCGCGGCCATCGTTCGTCGTTGGGCAACACGCAAAACATTTTGGTCACGATTGTATGCCGCATAACGTTCGATGAGTCGCGTGATGGCGGCGTACCAGCGATCTCGTTCAGCCATGGAGTTAAATCGAAATCTAATGTTTACAGAGTGTCGCAGCTGCAAAGAAAGGCCATAAAATTTGTTTTGCTTGTACCCTGAGAAGACGACTCCACGCACCTCCGAGGCGGGGTACTTTGTCAGTGGAAAGGGTTCCTGGTCATTCTTGTAGACCTCCAGACGACCCTGTGACTGATCCACGACCCAAAAACGTTTTTTGTACGTCATGAACGGGTTGTGACTACTTCCCTTTATGTGCATGCAACGCACAACTCCCATGATGTTCTCCTCATTGCTTGGCGGGGGATTCATTTCCTAAGGCAACAAAATCAGTGTCAGTCCTTATCGCCACCACCACTGGCATCCACCCGCTAAAACCTCGACGCCGTAGGAGCGGCATAGACATATACGTCAGAAGGGAACAACAACAAAATAAAGGGAAAGAACACACAGATCCGCACGAGGAGTAAACAAACAAGTGAGCAAAAAAAAAAATACCACAAGATAAACAAAGCAAAAAATATTATTCTTATTTTAAACAAACGGTCACACATCTCAACCGTCACTACCATCACCCCATAACACACAACAGTCAAAGTCGTAGGCTAAGAAAATGAACAGGAAGTAACAATTTATCCCTCTCCTTCACTTCCGCTTTGACCTTATTCTTGATTCGACTGATTTTTGGTCTCGATGAATCCAGCTGTTGCTTCCTTTTTTGCTTCCTTTTCGTGTTTCTTTTTCTTTTTACGCTCTCCGCCCAACAAAAAGACGAGTGCGGCGCTTAGCCGGCCTCATGAACGCCTGAACAGCCTCCAGTGCCGCCGGGGTGGCGTATGTCGCCTCAAACCGTCTCCACTCCGTCACAATGGGAGACACAAGGAATCCTCCCCACAGCTTTACCTGCTGCACCGCTTCGTAGCTTGCATTATCATCAAATCCTCCCAGCTTTCGAAGAAGCTCAGGCCGCTCCCGCTCCAGCATCTCACGGAAGACAGTGCGCATCCAATCTACAGAGGACGCCTCGTATTCTCCCGTGCGTTGCGTGGCCACAAGAACAAAATTTGCAACAGCTCCCACTGCATCACCCCAGCGTGCGACGGCAGGCGCCAAGACTTCCGGCATGCGTTCGGGGGGCGGAGAAAGAATCCCTCCCGTCGCCGTGGTCTTGCTCTTCCATCGAAGAGCCTCGTACGTGTACTCCTCCCATACCGAGTCCAACAGCTCACGGTAGAGCTGCAGAAGCGCATTTTTCTCTCTTTTTGTCGCTTCGTCATTGCCCGAACCAACATCTTGAGGCACCTTCTGTATACCGCGCAAAAGTCGACGCTTCAAAGCCAAACGTTTGGCCCACGCTTGATCCACCTTTTCTAACATTCTGTAACGATCCGCCATCGACGACGACGCCCGTGCTGCCGCGGACAGACACTGAATGCACGCGGCTCGCAGCGCGTCGGAACGATGAAACTGCTCCTCCTTCTCTTCCATCTTGGCATATCCCTCCCAGAGGGTGAAATCATGTGGGAATTGCTTAATTGCGGTCTCGAAAATGGTCCGACTCCGCTGCACACGATCCTCACGGTTCAACTCACCAGCTGCGCAAGCTTCCTCTTCAAGCCGCAATGCCGCGGTAAATACCTCCGGACATGCTGAGAGATTCAGTGCAGCCCCTAAAAGCCTACGAGCCTGTGAATATGATCCATGACGCTGCTCAAGCGCGGCTGCCTCTACCCAGAGACGAGGGCACCACGCCTTCTGAAAGGGAAAGTTTCTAATACAACTCGCCAGAGCTCCACGTGCCGCAGTAAGGTCTCGCCCCTCCATGAAACGTGCGTACTCCATCACAATAACGGCCTGTCGTTGCACTGCTGTTGGGTCCTTGCTTCCATAAACGTCGGTACGCACTGCAGAGGTAAGGCACATCAACGCCTCTTCACTTGCACTCTCGTTTTTTGCGTTATCCTCATTGCTATGCTGGACTGTGTCTCGCAGTATAAGATACTGTGACACGTACGCATCAAAGTCATAGGGGTTTCGAATAATACGTTGTTTATACATCGCCTTAGCAACCAAAACCGCCACGGCCTCACAGTTTTTGTTGTCCCCATAAAGCCGCTCAAAGTGGCTGTATGCTGCAAAAATATTATCCAGTGCACTGACTGAGGCACACTCCTGCAGCATGCGGTGATACACACGACGTGCTTCCTCGTATTTCTTCGCCACCGTAAGAGCATCTGCCCATGCAAGTGGAATCCTACAATCAATTTCACCATTTGTGTAGGACTTCGGAAGGGATTCCATCGCCGTTTCGTACACCTTGACCGCGCGTTCCACGTTTCCAAGCACACTCAACTCGGTGGCACCATAAAACAACCACGTCTCCACCGTACCATGCGCTTCAACGTAGCGACGAATAGCGCTTCTACACGCGTCCGCCCTTTGGCATTGCGCCTCAAAGAGAGCATACAACTCCCAAGCGCACGTGGGCGGGGTAGTACCAGAAAGCCAACGGTTAAATACGTCACGCGCTCTGTTTTCTTGTCCAGCAGCTTGTTCAAGTACAAGGTATTTCAACCAAAGATCCGTGGCGGCAGGTAACGCGGTCACCCCGCGGTCCCACACCGCCCGCGCGTGGTTGACAAATCCGTGCTCCTCTTCCAACTCGGCGTAGTCACGCCACAGCATAGGGTCGGTCCCGTGGAACTTAACAGCGCGCTCCAAGATGCTACGCATGCGCTCAAAATCCTTTTGCTGTGCTTCCCAACGAGCGTACTTCACCCAGTTACCAAGAAAAGTGTAGCCACGCTTCACTCGTTCCTCTAGTTCAGCTCGCGTCTTTTGGCGATAAAGAGCAAGTTCCTCTCTGCTGTTAATCACTACCCTTGTACTATCGTTGACGGGACCGGCCCCACGCTGCATCTCTTGAGCATCTGCAATCAGCTGCGCTGCAGTGAGCTGCGCTTGCGAAGCGCGAGCATCACGAAACACAGAACGCCGAGACAGTGCAGCGGCTGCTGGTCCCATGTCCTCCTTTTCGCGTCGACGCCGCTTCATCTTACCCCTCCAAGAGGAAAGTGCTGTGAAGAAACATGGAAAAGAGAAAAGGGGTAAAACGCCATCGTTAAAAGTCAACGTGGGCCAAAACAAAGTTCAGGATGGTACGACAAAAAAAAAAAAAAACACAACAA